AGAGAGAACAAACAGACAACAGAAACAGAAACAGAACAGAACAAACAGACAACAGAACAGAGAGAGAAACAAACCAGAACAGACAACAGACAGAGAGAGAACAAACAGACAACAGAACAGAGAGAACAAAAACAGCAACAACAGAACAGAGAGAGAACAACAGACAACAAGAACAGACAGAACAAACAGAACAGGACAGAACAGAGAGGAACAAACAGACAACACAGAAGAGAGAACAAACAGCACAACCACATAAACAGAGAGAAGTAACACGAACAACAGAACAGAGAAGCAAACAAGGACAAACCAGAACACAGAGAAACAAACAAAGACAACAGAAGGAAGAAAGGAAGAGGAAGAGAACAAAACAGACAGAGCCAGACAGAGAGAGAAAGAAGCACAGAGCACGAACGAGAGAGAGCAGAGAGAAGAAACAGACAGACGGAGAACGGAGGAGAGGAACAAAGACGAAGAGAGAAGGGAGGACAACAGAACAAGAGAACAAACAGACACAGAAAGAGAAGAACATAAGAGGACAAAGAAGGAAGCGATAGAGAAGAAAGAAGCAAAGCACCGAGGACAACGAAGAAACAGAAAACAAGAAGCAAAGACAAGAAGAGAGAACCAGAGAGACGCGTTGGCTTGTAGTGACGAGACGCGCGAGTAGTGCGGTGCGACGATTATGAGAAGAGGATGTAAGGCAGAGAGAGTGGAGAGCAACTCGAAATAGTTGTGAGTATGTCGAGACGGGTGTGCAGGGGACTCACTCCCAGTCTAGAGAATAAATAGAAGATATGAAAAGAGTTTAGACTTTTCTTTATTTAGGTGGCTAAATTCAATCTTTTTTTCTGGGACATTTTTGTCCGGTGCATTGCGCTTGATCGACGCTAGAATTTGGGATTCTCTCCCCCCCTGCTTGCCCTCTCCTCCCGGAATATATCACGGTCACCCTTAAGTCCACATGCACCACCATCGTCTCACATTATTCATAATAACCTAATTTTCGGCATTATGTTTGGTGTGTTAAACAAAACGATTTTTTTTTTTTTTTTTTTGTAAATATTTTTTGGTGTTGTATTTATAAGTGTTTTTTATTTGAATTCTTCCTTAGCAGGAGGGCAGTTTGTTCCCTGGAACCTTTTCATGCCCCTCTCGCTGCTAAATCGGAGGGTCAAGTTTCCGCGCAATAAAAACCAAGGCACAGGGGTTTTGGCCAGTCCCCACGCATTGAAAATGGTTGCTCAGCAAGAACTATAGATTAAAAAATTCACACGATAAAAAATAAAAATTATTTTTTTATTATAGAAAACAAAATTTTTAACATGATAATAGTACAACAAATTTTGCAGGAGATGGATTTAATATCAGAGCTCGAGGGTGCGCGGCCAGTCTAGATGCGACAGAATGATCGTTTACGTTCTGAAAATAAAGCAATGCCGTCAAGACCCATCACGAGCCAATGCAAAGTCGAGTAGTCAAGATGACTATTATATCCTTGCGAGAAATGTTTGTATTTTTTTTGCTAAGAAAACAGGGAATTTATATAATATGGAACACTTGAACGAAAAAAATGCTAGTTGGGTGTATACAAACATCCTATATACGAGTACCCTCTCTTAGGTAATTTGTTTTTTCCAGCTACGAATAACCTAAATCTGGTCTGATGTAAGGAAGCGTGCGGAACGTCGAGCTAGTGAAAATGACGCGTTAAAATCACCCACCGTGGATATAACATAGACCGAGTTTATTCTCACCATAAAGTAGTAAGAAGGCCAAAATATTCCCCTAGACGTGACAGAAGAGTATGGTAAATTACATCCTGACTTGGCTTCTTTTTTACATTCCTTTCGGCTTCTTGCGCTGAATGAAAGTTTGGAACTACCTCGCACAGCCTACCACGATACAAACGCTTCCCTAAAAAACTGCTGCATTTCGTATTACCTAATAGAGATCGTTTGAAAGGTGTCGTTGAGAATAACGGTCGTTGACGAGCTAAAAGCACCGCGCAGTTGTTGTTATGCTGGACTGTCTCTGAACCAGCTCGTTGCACAAATTTTCGCTCCTCATCTCTTCACTACTCTTTTCCTTTTCTCTTTCTCTCTTTCTTCATTTTCTCTCTTTCTTGTCATTTCTCTTTTCCTCCTCCTATCTCTCTGCTCCTCATTTCTCTTTCTCTCTTTCTCCTCTCTCTCTTGGTCTCTTTCTCATCTTATCCCTCGGCGTCCTCTCCTCTTCATTTCTCCTTATCCCAGTCCTTTCTCTTCTCTCTTTTTCATTCTCTCCTCCTCTCTCTCTTCTATTTTCTGTTTTTTCTGTCTCTCATTCTCTCCTTTCTCTTTTCTCCTCTCTCTCCTCGTCACTCTCTCTCTCCTCTCTTTTCCCTCTCCCCCATCCCCTCTTTACTCTGCTTCACTCTCCCTCTTCCCATCTCCTCTCCCTATTCCTTTTCCCACCACCCCCATTCCAGCTCTACTCTCATTCTCATCTTTTCCTCATCCCCTGCCTCCTTCTCTCCTCCCATCTCCCCTCATGCCCGCCCCTTTTCCTCTCTCTCTCTCTTACCCTCTCTTCTTCCTTCTTTCTCCTTCTCACTCCTTTCTCTCATCTTTCCAACTCCATTCTCCACTCCCTACTCCACCTAATCTCTCCCCCCATTTTCCTCCTACCCTCCTTCTCTTTGGCTTCTCTTATCTTTACCTCTCTCTTCTCTTCTTTGTTCTCTTTTCTCTCACTATTCCCCTCCCCCTCTCCCCTCTTCTCTCCTTCATCCACTCCGCCCCCTTCCACCAATACTCCCGCCCGTCAGACCCACCTGTTCTCTCTCTTCTCTCCTCTGTCTCTCCTCTCAAACGTGGTTCTTCACATTTTTTTGACAGTTATAAAACAAATGGTCACAAATTTATATGTATATGTATACATACACACTAACACATATATACGTATGTATACCGATATAAGTACACATATACATGCACAATATACATAAAACACGGGCAAAAACTGTATATGTATATATATATATATATTATATATATATATAATTATGTAATATATATGTATGTATGTACCTGTGTGTGTGTGTGTGTGTGTATGCACACGTATATTCTTCATGTATACTGAACAATAAATGTGCGGATATTTGAGTATGTATTTATGTATGTATGTATGTATACTATATATATTACACATACACATACACCATCACCACACACACACACACACACACACGCACCAACGCACACGCACATGCACACTGTCACACACACACACACACACACACACACACACACACACACACACATTATATACATACACTATATATATATATATATATTTTATTATTATATACTATTATATCACACATCATATTATTATATATATTATATATATATATATATATATATATTCATATATATATATGAATATATATATATATATATATATATATATATTAAATTTACTTATATTATATAATATATATATCTATTTGTTTTGTGTGTGTGTGTGTGTGTGTGTGTTTGTGTGTTGTGTGTGTGGTGTGTGTGTGTGTGTATAAATATACTGCAGTAGATGGATTCAACCTAAAATTTCGTGTCATTTCATTGTCACTATAGTGTCTATATATGGTATTATAACTGACAAGATATTTATTATGCTGAGATCATGTTGAGTAACTAGCAATGCTATAAACTAAACATCCCACCTAATGATATAATATGCAAACTTCATTTTGGTTTTACTGGAAATAAAATAAAACACCCAAATTGAAGAATCTGAGCTCATTAAATAGTGAAACATCACTCTTTGGAAGTTTTCCGCTATACCATTTTCTCCGCAAATTGATGATAACAGTATTAAAAACGGTATAAAATCCACGCTTTACAGGAGTCACAGAAACCGCAACAATGTGACATAGAAGTCGTTAAAAGCGACCGAATAATGACGTATGCGAGGGAATTCAAATGAGCCAATTAGATTCGCGTGCGCACTGGTGTCCACCTCATCAGAACCAATCAGATATGGAATTGATCTTCACGTGATATTAAAAGCTAGGCCTGGGAGACGGCAGTTGAAATTCAAATCATTTTCATCATGGCTAGACAGTGTGTTGGGTGTTAGACAGTGTGAGGATAGATTCTTTGATATCGCCGCGAAATATCATCGAAATAATGACGCGTTTATTATACTTGCGAAATCACGGTGTGTTACAAGTGGAAGTGTTACCAGTGGAAGTGTAGTGCCCGAAATGTAAGAGAGCGTGTCATTACAGAAATGACAGACACCAGTGGGCTTGTGGTGCCTGGGAAAAAGTCATGAAAAAAAAAAACATTGTGGGTTTACTGAAAATGATTACAAAGGGACATATCTCTCGGGAACTAGACTTGAACCCAATAAAGATCCGTCGTTTATTTTAAAAAATCACTGGCTAAGCAGGCACTGGGACCATCTGCTCGTGATAGTGTCTCCATATTGCCGAATGCACGAGTGTGGACTGGCGCAACTTCTGCCCCGTGGTTACCGAGCACTCTCTTGACATCCAGGAACCCATAGGCGGACCAAGAAATGTTGAAGTTGTTGAGACTCTTTGGTAAGCGGAAATGTGATGGGGGATGGCTGGTATCCGGAGGGATCGAATGCTGAAGTAAACTCTTCCTTTGCCCCCTTGTTCAGTCCCTGGGTAGGAACCGTGACGCTGAAACCCTCATACCTCTAATATAAAAGTAAATTCATCCCGGCTCAGTCATCGTGTGACGGTTGAACTGCATACCGGACAAGTGAACACGGCTATACACACCAAGTCATAAACCACACCGTTTGTAACAGAAACAACGAAGGGAGGAACAAGAAAAGACACGAATATACCGAAGGCCTTTTCGCTATTGCATGCCCTGACGAAGCAATAGCAAAAAGGCCTTCGGCATATTCATGTATTTTCTTGTTACTCCCTTCGTTGTTTCTGTTGCAATCTGTTCGCCATGAATTCCAAACCACACCGAGCACTTTGTCGATCCCGAGAGATCCTCACAAGCAACATTAAGCGTTTGTGGCGAGACTGAGGAAAGACGCCAGGTAACCGACAAGAATTCTACAAACAATACATGACTCGGTCTCTGTTTCTCCACCAATACAAGCCGGAAGTAGTGTCCACCACAAGTTCTTCGTCGAGGCCGGGAAACGGTACCTTTCAGCGTCCGATAAAAAGGAATGGCGATCACAACTCCCGCCAACAACGACTTGGTAGACCCTGACGATCCCAGTGACCCGCAGCTTGGCCCGTCTGGAGTTGAAGCTTAAGGTAAAATGTGTTTAAAACTGTCCCTGGGTCTGGGCTCCCTCCTGCCGTAACAAATGAGGTAAAGATTTTGTTGACCAGGCTGGGTGGGTGGGTGTAATTGGACGAAGCCCTTGTATAACCCGGAATATACTGTGCTTGTTATTGTTTTACTGATTTTTTCTCTAATTTAAGCTCCCAAAGTCCCTGATGTGTATCATGCCCTTCCCAGCTGTCGGGGCCGATATCAGAGCAAAGGATATGAGCGGTAGATTCGTTCGAAACACGACGAAACCTAGTGGAGAACTATATTTTTCTCACCCGAGACACGGTGTTGGGTTTCATTTCCAAATTTAGTTTCATTGTTTATAAAGAAATTCCGTGATGATTAGCTTTCAATTATATTAATGATATAAGTAATAAAATGATGACAACAATAATAGTCGTAGTCGTAGTCGTAGTACTACTACTGCTACTACTAGTAATAGTAATGATGATGATTATGATAATAATAACAACAACAACAATAATGATAATGATGATGATAATAATAATAATAACAATAATAATAATAATGATAATGATGATAATTATAATTATAATAAAGGAGCACATGAACTTATTCGAGGAAGTTACCTAGACTGGCTCTTACCTCTTAGACTAGCACAACAGGTATCCAAACAAAACAGGTAAAAATGTCATACAGAAACGAGAGCAATGTCTGACCTTGGACGATAGTGAAATATCCTTATCTTATGAATTCTAACCGCCATTCAAAAACGTTTTAAAGAATCTCTACAGATCGATTTACAATAGCTGCTGAATGCCAATTTGTCAAATTAAAACGACCGCAGGATTAGTACAAAAAATAAGCCGTTCTACTGCAGTTATAAGATATTACTAGAGTCGAAAATCTCAACAAGAGCAATTTGGTTTATGGTAAAAGCACTCATTTCAAAACGTTAAAAATGTTTCAGATTCATGAAGCAGTCAGTGATAAGCAATGCAAAGGAAGAATCTTAATTCTAAAGGACCCCTCTCCCCCTCCGATGCTATAGTCTTAATGGCCCTTCAGTTCTATATACGCTTCTTCAGTTTAATCGATGTATACTTAAATTGCGATATATTTTCGTTCAATCTTCAAAAGTTTCCCCCCAAATAAAGAACTCCATTTTCTACAATACAGTTTACTTCCGTTTTCTATGATTGTCATGTGGCTCACCTGTGAAACGTAAACAAACTTTGTTTTGGTCAAAAACGTGCCTGTCTTTCGGCTAAATATATCTTCAGGGAGAATTTCTGGTTTGTTATCATGCTTAATTAAGTTGTATTAGAAATATTATTGTGAGATCACTGTTAGTCTTCTCAGGACTAATAAGAAAATGGTGAGTTAGTTGTATATTATTTTAAAATTACATGTAAGGCAATAAAGTTATGGGCATGTCCCCTTTTATATAGTGATTTTTTTTTTTTTTTTTTTAATAGCTCTGTATCTTCAAATCCAATATATCAGGTATAGATGGATTCTATATGATGTTTACTGTACATTAATAACTGTAGCGATGATACTAGACCAGATGGATGGGAAGGCTTAAGAATGCTAATTTATGTTAATTTATGCAGTATCAGTGCATTTTTGCCAATGTTTTGACCCCGAAAAGCATTCTTTGGGGGTCTGCTGCCCTCCGATCCCCCACCCTGGAAAGTAAAGGTAGAGCCTGGAAATGTCTGAATAAAACGGCTGCATTGGTGATACTTTGCCTTATACTGAGGTAGAGGCTCTGCAAGGTAAACATTTTTAGCCGCACACTGGGTCCTGTACTGTGCCAGTAATGAGAGTTTTCAGCTGTGCTCTTTGTGCTTATTTATTGATTCTATCCATTATTGGTATAATTGGCGAGAAGTCAATAAGAGACGTTGATACCAAATTCAGTGTTAATATTGGTTATATACAGCTTTTGTTTAGAGGTATTGATTCTTTATATCTCATAGTTTATCTAATAAAGTTGGCTTAGAAAGGTAACTCAGCTAAAGGCCAGTAAAATAAGAATACGAAAATTATTTGTGTAAATGCAGGATTATAGTCAATAACTCTTGTACAAGTGATAGTATATATATATATATATATATATATATACATATAATATATATATAGAATGGACCAGAAATTATTGTGTACGTAAAAGAACCCATTACTCCTACAGATAAGAAAAACCATGTTAGGCGAGGAGGAGGATCAGGAAGCACCGATGTTGGTAGGAGAAAGTGACGATGATGAGGAGGCACCAGATCTAGTTGAAGTGGGGAATGCCGTAAGGGTGCCAGTGACCATCCTCACAGGGTACCTTGGGGCAGGCAAAACCACCCTTCTCAACTACATCCTCACGCAGGAACACAACAAGAAGATTGCCGTCATCCTCAATGAATTTGGAGAAGGTACTGGGGGTGGGAAGAAATGAAACTGGGGAAGGCTTGGGTTTGATTTGCATGTTTTTGTTATTTGATGTTGAAAATGGGCTGCATTTTATTTGAAAAAGAGAGAGAGAGAAAAAAAATACGGTCGTATCTGTTATGTTTCATACTTTTGAAAAATATGTATTTTTTTTATATTATTATTATTTAAAATCATGTTTGCTGATGATTTTTATTTGTTTGTCTTTTTGGATTGCATTTGTTGTATGAAATTTTTTCCTATTAATCAAATCTGAAATAATTTTTCCTAATAATCATAAATCTGAAATATTCTTAGATATTCTAATAAAATTACCTCCTTTTCTTAGGCAGTTCAATGGAGAAAAGCTTAAACATCAGCCAAGATGGAGACTTGTTTGAGGAGTGGCTTGAACTGCGCAATGGATGTCTCTGCTGCTCGGTGAAGTAAGTATCCTGCATGGTGCGGGGAGGCTTATTTCAGTATCAGTGTAGTTATTATTATTATTATTATTATTTTTACTTTTATTTTTATAGTTTCCCCTACACCGGTGGCGGACCTTACACCGAATAATTTCTTCTGGGGAGTGGATCGTAACCCATGAACCAATGTTCTTTGGGGCTCTCCCTTCTTGCCGTTAGATCTTGAATAATTTTCTCGGTATCTCTGCCAGTCCTGGTTATGTTCTTTTTTCGCAACAAGTCAGAGTTATTATTTTCCTGATATTTATCAGAACCACTTAGCCCGCTGTATCTCTTACATCTTAACCATTTCATTTTGAGATCTTGTTATTTTTCTGTTCTCTCTTGTTCTTTTGTTATATAACCTGTTGTCTTCTGGAGGAACAGATATATTTCACTTTCCAGAATCTATTATTGTTGTTATTATTGTTATTTATTATTATTATTGTTATTATTTTTGTTATTATTATTTTTGTCATTGTTATTGTTATTGTTTTTACTATTATTGTTATTGTTGTTGTTGTTATATATCATTCATATTATCATTATCATTATATTATTATTATGATCATTATTATTATTAATTATGAATATGAACATTATTATTGTTGTTGTTATTATTATTATTATTTTATTATTATTATTATTGTTATCATTATTATTATTATTATTGTTGTTATTATTATTATTATCGTTATTATTACTATTATTATTATTACCATTATTATCACTATGATTATGGTTATTGCTATTGTTATTGTCTCAATCTCATCTTCACCATTGCCATCACCATTTGCTTCACCATCACCATTCATCATCATCATCATCATCATCATCATCATCACCAGTGTCGTCGTCATCTTCACCATTGCTATTATTTTTATTTGTTATTTCTTTTTTTTTTTCTGGTTTCACAAGAATGATTTAACAGTTCTTTTGCTGTTGATAACATGTTAACTCTCTCAGGATCAGCTGTTCATTCTCTTTCAGATGATTTTAACAGTTGCAAGTAAACAAGCTTTTTTTAACATACCAAATAAATGAATATGAGCACAAACGCAGTAATGTGTATACAAAAATGAAAAGGTAAACAGCCACAATAAGAAATAAAAATAAATTGTTATGTTTTGAACTATTCACGAGTTCCTCATATGAATAATTAACCGAAGTGGAATACAATCCATTTTGGTTCATTATTCGTCTGAATAGGACCAGGTGAAGAGTTCGAAACATAACATTTATTATATTCTCATTTCCTATTGTGGCTGTTTTCCTTTTCATATCAAACAAATCTTTCATTTCATTTTCTACAATCGGGGATTTGTCAATTTTCGATGGAAATCAGTTATGAAATATTCTTCAGTGACTGAACTTCAGCACTGTGTCTTTTTTTACCGTCCAGTTAATGCCCTTTTGAATGCTTTTAAATCCCACAGGATTTGAATTTCAGTATTCTGTAAAACATCAAATCAGTTATTACTCAACTATATCATGTCTTCATTATTCCTTGGTCAGAGTGTTTACATTGAGACAAAATGCGGCTTAATGTCTCTTCTCTTTCACCAAACAGATTGGGCCATTTTTTGTCGAATATTTCTTTTCTTGGTCCATTTTCTCGTAAATGTCTGATTCTGTAAGGGGATTAACATTCCTTCTGTTTCTGTTATGATCCCTACCATAACCAATTCCATTGATTTGAACCTCTAGTATCACTAATACCCTTATAATGCTTGTTGTTGTTATTGTTGTTGTTTTTATTTTTGTTGTTGTTGCTGATCTTCTTTGTCTTCTTCTTCTTCTTTGTCTTTGCCTTCATCTTCTTCTTTTTCTTCTTCTTCTTCTTCTTTGTCTTCTTCTTCTTGTAATTATCATTATGATCATCACGATCATCATCAAGAGTGTTGTTGTCATTATCTTTATTATAGGCAGTCATTCTTATTATCAGTGTCAACAGCTTTGTTTAAATGTTTTGTTGATTTAGCAATATATACTTCAGTGATTAAGATTATATGTATAAGTCTCTTAGTATTGAAAAAGTAAAAGAAAAAAAATATTACTCTTACAGGCTTTTTTTGAACGATCTTTCAAACTTAATTCATATTTAGGAAATTTTTTCTCTGTGTCCAAATGAGATTTTAGTGTGGATTTTTTCATATATTTTTATCACTGTTTTTATTTACTTTAATTGACATTGTCTTGAAATTATTATCAATTGGAATGTGGAATAAATCAAAATTGAGATTCAAAAGCAGTTATATCAAATACCAAAGGCCTGTGGGAGTCTTTCATGTATGACTTTGTAGTTGAAATGTTTCAACTGTTTGGACATACTCAGTGTGAATGTTTAACATCATTATATATGCTGCCTCATATGTTCAGTGAGGAATCATATTCATGTTGACAAATGTAGATGAGGTATGAATGAGAATTAATATCTTTACAATAGAAGAGATGTATTTGACTGGTTTTGAACATATCTATGTCTGATGATGATTTATTTGAAAACGGTCAGATACACATCTTCCATTGGGAAGATTGTCTCTCTCATTCATACCTTTTCTATATATGCAATATTGTAAGGTATGGGTGTGCATTACCTTCTTTTGTTTTTTAGTACTTTCGATCATTTTTACTTATGTTCAGGAATGACTTCGGAAGTTGGATGTTTAGTAAATATTCTTTATTATTATATTTCTCTAACTACTCTGGTATATGCTAAATGCATATACCAGAAAAATATTTACGATGGCAAATATCTAGACTGTGTAACTGATATAAGAACATTAATGTTTAGAAATGTGTTAAATTTCTTTTTAGATATTTTTGATGAATAGAGGCGGGAATATTTGAAAGAATTGGCTCTATTCTGAGCTTGGGTTGTAGGATTAGAGGGTAATTGGGTAATAATGTGGATATTTTAACTCCAGTGGTTGTTATAACATGACAGAGATTGCCTTCTAGTAGTTAGGAAAAGTATGCGACAGACCAGTCCAGTCTAATTTTTATTTCACTGATACTTCAACATGAATGATTAATTGTTCAATACATAGATATAATGGGATTAATAGCTAGTAAATTGGTTGGCAAATACAATGATAATGAAGTTCAGTTTATTAGGAATTTACATATTTTAATGCGTTGTATCGTTTTGTATGCATAAGGCAATATATGTGGCAATTAACATAGGTAATATATATATTTAGCATAATATTTGGGTAAAATCATAATTTAAATTTTTTAGTCAGATAAATGATATTGGCAGATAATTAGTCTAAAGTAATTTCAAATTAATTTTCAGAAGTTTCTTGTAAATAGCAATTCTGGTTGGCTGACCATTTACTGTAATATTAAAAAAATATTATGCTCTACCTATACTGTATACATGAAGTAGCTAATATACATTTTTTTTCATTTTTTGTAATTAAGTGTAAAGTTATCAATCACTGACTATATTTATTAAGTTTGACAAGGTTCATGCTATAAGTTTATTGAAACCTGGTTTATAATATCATTAAGGTACATGCATATATTGAATGAATATACATAATAAGAAAGATCCTCTATACAATCACAACTGATTCTGGAATATTATTGATTATTTTTTTTCTTTTTTAATGACGTAATAAACTTTGGCATATTTATCGGAAGTTTCAATTTAAAAATCAATGCTGGTTGAATATTATAGACTAACTAGTGACACTAATAATGAGTTGATAACTTTTGCAAATAGGAAGTTTTCATATATGAAATGTATGTGTATATATATTTATTTATGTTCTAATTAGATCAAAAACAGATATCAGTGAGATAATGAGAAGCATCTTTTTTTGTATTTTTGTTTTTGGTATAGCAAGTTAATACAATGACTTCAGTTTAATTTCAAAAAGGGTAAATAAACGAAAGTATTTTATGCTGTATTGGAACTTTGATCTTGCACATTATAAATGGGATATTTTATTCAATCAGTGTTTCATCTGCATGTGATTTAACCTTGATTTAATGTTGTTTTTGTACAAGATTAGTTCAGATTTGAAAAAAAAAGAGAAACTGTAGTTGGAATATATACATAGAAGTGAATTAACTATTAGAATTAAGTTCGGAATGGAGAAGAAATACAAAAATAAAAGGAAAAATATTGAGGAATAAGAAAGATCCTACATGGCATTAACAAAGAGTCATGGTTTGTTACGGATATATGTGTGTGTGTGTGTGTGTGTGTTTATATAACTTAGGCATACAGATACTCTTAATATATACAGTATATAATTACTGTATTATAACTGTTTGGTTAGACATTTCTTTGTGTATTATAATTTTTTCAAATTGAAGAACAATGTTAGTGAGTTCCTAACAGCAAACCAGCTTGTTAAGTAGTACGAAGTATGACCTCTATAAGGTTACATAAAAAGACTGAGTATAATCTTGCATATTCTTCAAGTCTACTGAGAAGTCCCCGTAGATTCATGATGCTACACTATTCTGTAGATGGGAATGTCCAAACTCCATGACACCTCTGTAGCTTCCAGTTGATGACATGCCATTCTGTTACTGTCATGTCATGTCATGTCATGTCATGAAATGATGTGCAGTCTACAAGTACGGGTGACAGTTGCCCCTGCTGTCGCGATATGTGCCATAAGTGCAGGCGCATGCCCCCTGTTCCTCATCCCACTCGGAGAGGTATGGGCACTGGCATACACCCCTGCGAAACACCTTCCCATCAGTGCACGGTGAGCTGGTGGCATCTCTCCTTCCTGTGCGCAAAAGATAGGAGGGAAGACAGAGAAAAAGAAAATAAGTTGTAATATGGAGATGGGTTTTGGATAGATATCCTTTTTATTTAGCTAGTTCCTACAGTTTATTGCTATTACTTGATTTTTTTTCTAAATTTTATCATGAGGTTATTTAGAGCTTAACTTAATAAAGAAGTTGGTTATCGATGCAGTTAATGGCATGAGCTGTATCCTAAAAAGAAAATAGGTTTTATTATTTTTTTATGTTAGAAGCAAATTTTGTCTTACCAGCCTGGTGATTTGTGATCATGGTGATAGGTACTGAAAGGATTTTAATTTCCATACATTACTCATGGATTTTCATGGTTTAGAGAAGTTAATGAAGATTTTGATTCATGTCTTTGAGCGCTCTTTCCTTATCAACATTTGCATTAAAGTACCATTGCCAGTTAGTCCTGTATATTAGATTATAATGGTGGCAAGAAGCATATAGGGAAAAGCGATTTTAGTATTCAGCATTATGATCTATAAGCAGTTATCCAAGGTTGCGCTTCTTCTCTGCCCAGTATGTCAAGACGTTTACTGTGGAGTCACAGTTAGGTTGCACGAAAAAGCAGGGGAACGCGTGACCATCGCCTGATCGGCGAGCTCACCCCGGTGGCTGGACTGGCCTGGTTTTCTCGCGACGTCGTATGACGTGCCGATGGCCTGGTAGGGCCTCCAGTGGCGGGTCCTGGCCAGGCTCTGGATCATTTCCCCGGTGAGCTTGGGCGGCAGGGCGTACAGGGAGTTGCCCTCCCGGTCCGCCAGAGGGTAGATCTGGGCCGAGGCGCGGGGCTTGGCTGGGTTCCTGCCCGAAGAGCCGCCGCCGAGGGGGTCACCCCACACGACCTCCATTGCGAGGGCCAGCAGGGTTGCCGTCAGCCATATTCTGAGGGAAGGGAAGGGGCTTGCTAGGGGGTTGTGTGCTACGGGGTCATTCATGGGTCTTAGGATTAATAGGGAGAATGGGTAGTCGGTGTTAGGGGTGTGACGATACTCGCGTACTTAAAATCCAAAAGAGTAGTTCAGCTGTCCTTTCTGCTGCAGATGTACGTTCACGTACTACCATTTTCTCTCTCTCTCTCTCTCTCTCTCTCTCTCTCTCTCTCTCTCTCTCTCTCTCTCTCTCTCTCTCTCTCTCTCTCTCTCTCTCTCTCTCTTCTTTTTACCGAGTCTCTCTCTCTCTCTCTCTCTCTCTCTCTCTCTCTCCTCTCTCTCTCTCTCTCTCTCTCTCTTCTCTCTCTCTCTCTCTCTCTCTCTCTCTCTCTAACTCACACTCACGGCCCTGACACCACTGCCGCGTGCAGTTATTGTCAATTGCTTCATCACTTGCTACGTCGCCCCCGATCCTTTTTTTTTCTTTTTTCTTTTCACTCTTGGGTCGGTTTTGTTCTTTGTTTCCACCCTGTTTCTCCTCTCTCTCTCTCTCTCTTCTCTCTCTCTCCTCTCTCTCTCTCTCTCTCTCTCTCTCTCTCTCTCTCTCTCTCTCTCTCTCTCTCTCTCTCTCTCTCTCTCTCTCTCTCTCTCTCTCTCTCTCTAACTCACACTCACGGCCCTGACACCAACTGCCGCGTGCAGGTGGCGTCTCTCCGGTTATTGTCAATTGCTTCATCACTTGCATTCTACGTCGCCCCGGGTTGATGGGCGATCCTTTTTTTTTCTTTTCATTCTTTCACTCTGGTTGGGTCGGTTTTGTTCTTTGTGTTCGTCACTGTTGGAGTGGTGCAGAGGCCTGTTCGGGTGGTCTGCTAGGTTTTGGCATTTACTCGCTACTCTCTCACTCACTACTGTCTCGCTCATTCACTCACTCACTCGCTCACTCACTACTCTCTCACTCATTCACTCACTACTCTTCTCACTCACTCACTACGTCTCATCACTCACTCACTACTTCTCACTCACTCACTCACTCACTACTGTCTCACTCACTCACTCACTACTCTCTGACTCACTCACTCACTACTCTCTCACTCACTTACTACTCTCACTCACTCACTCACTCACTCACTCTCTCACGCACTACTCTCTCACTCACTCACCACACTCTCACTCACGCACTAC